TTTTTAAATAGTTTTTACCTATAAATTTACAATTCTACATCAAAAAATTACCATTAAATGATGGAGCGATGTGGTTGCGACATGTGGGTAGCTATCTAATTTTTTGTCACGTAGATTAGCCTATCTAAATTTGCGCCGTGTGTTCGATTGAAAACTCTCCTTTAATATATACTAGTGTTTACCCTGCACGTTGCGCGGGTTGTTCAAGATATACATGAGTTTAATGATTTAACGATTGTATAACATTTCTGACGGAGTGATATATGTAAAATAAAAACAAATATTAATGATATAAAATGCAACTGTATAATTTTTAATGTGAACATGTTTAGTTATTTTAAGTACATTTAGAATTATTTTCAATATTGAAAATCATCCAATATAACTTATTGTCCATCTTTTTCATTTTATTGATTTATGGTTTTATATATTTTAAACGTATTCTCTTAATTTTTCATAATAACGTCTCTAGATATACCTAACCGTGTCACATCATTCAAACTCTCTCTATAACAGAAAATTTTCTAATTATTTCTTTTCATAAGCTTATCTTATCCATCTCACCATATTTCTTTTGCAACTTTTCTTTAGAAGTTTGTTCGTATATTTTTCCAATAATATAATGTTTATTTTATTTTATTTTTGGATAGCATAGTCTTCACTTTTTTTTTTCTAAATTCAAATATGATGACCTCTCTTTAAAGCTTAATTTCTTGAAAATTTTGTAACAATTATTTTTTTTTCACTTATCTCGGTTTTTTTTTCCGTATTTTCTTATTCTCTGCATGATTTTTTCCTCCATATAATTATTTTCAATTTCTCAATATACTTTTATTCTAAAGTTTGTCTCTCACAAAGACCTCTATCCTTTTTTCTCATTTCGGAATTGATTCTTATTGATCTCTACGTTTTATTTTATTATCATAACGTTAACTTTTTCTACCATTATACCATATAAAAAAATATAATGTATATATTATATTAATTTATTAGTAATCATTTATTTTATTATTTTATGATATATAATATAAAATATATTATATTATGAAAGGTTCGGCTGATTAATATATAATTTCATTATTAGTATTATTATTATTTTAAATTTTTTAACGTTTCACAATATAATCAATAGCAGTCATTTATTAGTATTGCCCGTTAAGAAGAAAAAAATTTGCTACTATTAAAAAAGAATTTATGATCAAAGTACCACCAAGTGAGATAAAAACCAATACAATTACCAATAAAAAAACCCGATTAATGATTATACTTTAACACTTAAGTATAAAAATCAATATTGATCGTGAATCACTATTTCTCATGGTGGCCATCGGTTTTTTTTTTTTTTTTACTTTACATCAAATTGGTTTTTGTGATTTTTGTAGTTGAGTTGGTCATTTTTGAATTTATTAGTTTGAAGCTTTTTTTGGGCCACTCTCTTTTTGTTATTAAAATTTACGGTTAATAGATAATCTCTCAATTAATTATTATATTGAAAATAATCAATTTCAACCAATCTTGATTGGTGAATTAGGTTATTTTTGGATTGGTTGGAGAGATGGAGTTATTTTGCATGAAATTCTATAGAATTGGATTTACTGAAAAAATATTATTGTTATGGATTGGATTAGTGTAAGTGATTGTCAGTGTTCATTTGATGACGGTTCATTGTTTTGGGTTTTTTCTGGATTGATTTTCAAAAATTTCCCATTTAATTTAGTTTTTATTTATAAATTTACAATTTTACAACAAAAAATTACCATTAAATGATAGTGTGATGTGGTTGCGACATGTGGACTTGGCTATCTAATTTTTTAACATGTGGATTAACCTATCTAATATTACACCATGTGTCTGATTGAAAACTCTCATTTAATATATAACTAGTGTTTACCCCGCACGTTGTGCGGGTTGTTCAAGACATATATAAGTTTAACGATTTAAAAATTATATAACATTTATGACAGAGTGATATATGTAAAAAAAAATATATTAATGATGTAAAATGCGATTGTATAATTTTTAATGTCAATATGTTTTGTTAATTTTTTAATTAGATGACCTGAGTGGTAATAATCATACCTAATCCTCATCCCCTAACCACTCCACCCATCCCTCCCACCCATGTTTTGTTATTTTAGATACATAAGGAATAATTTTCAATATTCAAAATCATCCAATCTAACTTATTGTCCATCTTTTTCGTTCTGTTGATTTGTGGGTTTATATATTTTAAAAATATTCTCTTAATTTTTTTTCATATGATCTCCCTAAATATTTCTACCCATGTTATATCTTTTAAAATCTCCCTCTAACAGAAAACTTTATACCCGTGTCAATGTAACTTGGATGTAATTACAACCGGACACACATCGTTTACTTCATGACAATTTCTCTCATTTAATTTAGTCTTATCTATAAATTAATAGTTTTATATTAAAAAATTACCTTTAACTGATGGAGTGATGTGGTTGGAACATGTGGATTTGACTATTTAATTTATTGTCATATGCAGTACCATATATAACCTTATGTCACGTGTTCGATTGAAATCTATTTCAATATATATATATATATATATATATATATATATTTCATAATTTTTCATAATGATTACTCTAAACATTTCTACCCATGTCATTTCTTTTGAAACATTTCTTTAGAAATTTGTTCGTATATTTTTCCTATAATATAGTGTTTATTTAATTTTTTTTCTTCCTTGGCACAGTCTTCATCTTTTTTTTCCCAATAAATTTGATGGCCTTTTTTAAAGCTTCAATTCTTAAAAAATTTCTACTAATTATTTTATTTTTCACTATTATCTCGATTTTTTTTTTCATTTTTTCTTATTCTCTATATAAATTTTCCTCCATATAATTTTAATCAAGGTTATACCTTCATCGGTCAGGTTAATCAATGTAAATGGACTGTATGTATTTATAATAGGAAATTTTGGACGATTAGGGTTTACGCATTATTATATAATTACATTACATAATGATATAATACAATATATCATATAATCATTAACAGTTTGTCTGATTAATATATAATTATATCATTAGTATTATAAATATTCCCTTTTTTTCTTTTGTAAATGTTATACTCAACAATAATCATTTATTAGTATTGTCCGTTATTAGCTGTTAGTATCAACAACAAAAAATATATTACCTGTAATAATTTTGAGAAATCTCTTAGTTAACTTAGTTTTATTTGTAGACCAAGAAAACTGAATTATTCAGAATCTTTTTTAGAGGATAAATATTTCCAATTTACTACAATAACAATTGTTAAACAATTATGAACAATCATTATATCAACAATCAAAACTTTACAATGCTAATCTATTATAAGAAATTAAAAAATAATGTTTGTAATGCGACGAAAGCTATATGTTAAATAGGGATTTCATGCGTAAAATATTATGCATCATAATTTTGCGGAAAAAAAATCATAATAATTATAATGGTGTTCAGTTATGTTGAGCATATGTTATTAAGGGTGTGAAGATAATAAGTTAGAAAAATTCTTATCAGATTTTTATTATATTGACAATAATAAAATATACAAGTTTACAATTAGATTGGAATTTTATAGATGGAGTGATTGGATTTGATTTCATTTTAGTGGGAAAATGGGTCTTTTCATCCCAAAGTTTGGGCCACACCATCCAAAACATCCCAAAGTTTAAGAACATGTCATTTAAATTTTTTAACTCCAGTTAATTAATTAGTGGTGGTACTTTATTCTGTTTCTCCGCCTCCAATTCTTTTAATCATTTAACACGTTCCACTAACTCACACCTTATAAGAAAATAGCTAAACCTAATTTGGTTTTCACATCATCCATTTTCCCTTGCTTAGAAAAAGAAAAAAAAAATCTAAGATTCACCTTCTAAATTGATAACAATAATGAGAGGTTTTGTGTGTGTCCTAATTAAAAAGTAAGCCCTATTTCATTTATTTTTGTAAATATGTAGCATCATGCAATTTTTTTGCTTGGCATGGACCAAATTTACCAAACGCAAGTATGAAAATTTTTTGACTAAAAAAATGGGAGAAAAGAAACTGAATGAAATATCGCCGTTAATAATTTGAAAAAATTAACAAATGTTCTAATACTACATATTTTTGAAAAGTTTAGGATGAAAATGGCATGCTTTTAAACTTTGGGATGTTTTAGATGGTGTGCCTCAAACCTTGGGATGAAAAGGCCCATTCTTCCTTTCATTAGTGGAGATAATTAGTAAATATAGTTGGCTAATCAACTTAATGTATTTATAGGGGAAGTTATTTTACTTTTTTTTTTCTTTTGTAGTTGTTATACAAAGTAATTTAATAAATATACGATTTTATATTAAAAAATTACCATTAAATGATGGAGAGATGTAATTACGACATGTGGACTTGACTATCTGATTTTTCGACATGTGGATTAGCCTATCTTATTTTGTACCACGTGTCCGATTGAACTCTCCTTTAATAATATATATATATATATATATGTATATATAATAGAGATATAAAGATATAGAGATAGGGATATAGATTAGAAAATGTTTTAAGCTTTTTTTTTTTTCAAGAAGGAAGACATAATATGTGAAACCCTAGAACAAATTAAAATGTCTAATACGGGAGTATTAACCTAACAAATTACCGGTTAACTTGACAGTGAAAACTTACACTGTTACCCGGTAATAATACTACTACAGCTATTAAGATGTTTACTTTAGACGAGTGATGGCCCAAAGAGTGTCTCAAATTGGATTGCCAGTGAACCATCCGATTTTGGCCCAAAATCATAGCTGAGGTACGAAAATTAATGTAACCTCGGCGGCCCAGTTGGACCAAGAGAAACTAAAAACACGAGAATATTGATTAGTTTTCTTTAATTTTGTTTTTAGATGGGAAAAACAGAGGTTTTGGGAGGGTTTTAACCAGAAAGTGGCAACGTCGAAGGAAGAAGAAGCGACGAAAAATTGAAAAATCGAGCCAATTACAATGGTATCAAATGGAGACCTTGTTGATCAACCCCAATGGTAATGTTAATTTCATGAATTTTTGTACTTCTGTACATCATGTTTATGATTTTGTTGATGTAAAATGTTTTTTCTGATGGATTTCAGGGCTGGGGTTGACAAAGAATTTCTTGCCGCACCCGTGAAATCAGCTGTGGACAAGTTTCAATTACTCCCCGAGTTTCTGAAGGTGTGATAATTCGATTTGTTTCCTAGTTTTTCCGTAATTGTTGCGTTCAGTTGTTTTTCTAAGAAAAGTTATAGTTATTACATTCGTGAAGATGGATTGTGAATGTTTGGAAAAAGTCTTAGTTATGCTTGTTTTGAGAAATTGGCATATCTGTGATGAAAATAGTTCGAATTAGTATTTCAAGATTATATATGATAGCAGAAGATTAAAGAATGTTAAGGAAGGAAAGAGACAGAAGAACGCGAATAAGAAAGAGCTATAGGGTGTATTTATTTTGAATAAGTTACTCTAGTATTGGCAACAGATGTAAGAATGTTTCAAATCAAAGTATGATGATGCTATGGTTGTTTTATGTATCCTGGTGTAGGTGAGAGGATTGGTGAAACAACATCTGGACTCCTTCAATTATTTTGTTAACACAGAGATAAAAAAGATTGTTGCTGCAAACAATGAGATCAGATCACAGGTGGATCCAAAACTTTACCTGAGGTTGAACTGCCACTCCCCTTGTGATTTCCGTTCACTTTAATTTCCTTTGGTGGAATCATGTACTTGCAAATCCTTTTAAACTTCTGGCCCTTTCCACTCTGGACACTTACTGATATCTATCTGTCTGTGTTCGTCATGCACTCTTGGGTATGGAAGATACAAAGATGTACGTATTGGAGAGCCCTCAAGGATGGTTGATTACGTGACTGAGAAGCTCACTCCCCAGAAGTGTCGGATTTCTGATATCACGTGAGTTTCTCAAATACAAAGCTTATACTTTAATTAGCCACTAAGATGTGAGCTTTGAAACTGTTTGCTAATTTCATTTGGTTGTGAGGATCGAATAAGTTTAGTCTCATTGTGATGTTTAGGAACTTTAGTTAAATTTCTGGTTTTGTTGGAAGTTATAGTCAATGTAAACTAAAGTTTCCATCTGGTAGTGGTTTGTCAGAGAAATGTTAATGAGTGGAAAAGTTTTTCCAAGAAAATCTATCTAGTTTGGTTCTTTTATCTCCATTAGCTATTTTTTTTTTTGAAATTTTGCACTGCCTTTCTGTCAATATAAATCATGTTCCCATAAAGAAACATGCATCTATGGCGCGGATTAACCTTTTGGTTGGCAGTTGGTAGAATGTTTGGGCGTGTTTAAAAGATGTCTGTTTTTGGCAACCTGGTAATTTTGAGGAAAATCCATAGCTTTGCTCGGCAGGATGTCATGCTTCCTGTTGATTTTTGAGTTTCATCTCTAGCCACTTTTTGAGCACAATCCCTAGCTTGGCAGGATGTTGTTTACATGTTTCTTGTTGATTTCTGAGTTTCAACTCTAACTAATTTTTGGTCCCCGTGGAGCTTGGTTCAGTCTCAGTTCTCAACTTTGAGGCTCTTTTTGACCCTATATTTTTTCTCCTTCCTCTTTTCTCTTGAACGATGTATAATGCTATCACAACTACATTATATTTATTTGGCAAAAAAGACTTGACGTTTATATACATAAACAGTGATGATTCATTAATTTCATTTCAGCAGAGCTGAAACACGGTTCAGCAATTAGCCATACTTCATCTTGAAATCTGCCTTTAATATTATAACATTCAAGCCAATGTGCGAAGTTCCTTTGAGGCTGTTAGGTTCCGGAAGATGGAAAAATTATTCTTATAAAACTTTATATTTTGCCTTTGGATGACTTTGGATATTATTCACTGAGCAACAGTAGAAAGGTTAACTAGTAGGATTGGTTTTTTTTTTTTTTTGATAGAAAGTAGGATTGCTTATTTATCTGCAGGTGGATGGTGCCTTTCTTTTACTGATGGCACTTGTCACCATAACCAGTCAACTCGTCTTTCTATATTATGTTTTTAATGGCTGATGTGATTAAATGGAAGGCCATTGTTATGACTTGCCATGAACTGTTTACATTAAAATGCAACAAAGCAGGTTCTTGACTTATCAGTGGTTTGGCTGGAGTATTATTGATGTTGTCAGACTTCCATGGAGACGTTACTTACTTAGTGATTGTTCGCTAAAAACTTCTAATATTGTTTTCCCTTTGGATTCTTTTTTTGTACTAGTTCAGGCCTTCGAGCTCCTCATGATTGATTGTGTTATTTTTGAAGTCCGTAATTATTTGATTCTTATTGTTTGGTATTCCCAAAATATAGGTATGCTGCCCCTATCCTAGTGAATATTGAATACACTACTGGAAGTGGCAACAGTCTTAAAGTACAAGAAAAGGTACTTTCGTTTTAGGTTTTTGAAGTTTTCAATGTAAACTACAACTGTTTTACTTAAGGTCAAAATTTACTATATCTACAGAGAGAACTTACAATCGGGAGAATGCCTATCATGTTGAGAAGTAGTTGTTGTGCTTTGTATGGAAAAGATGAAGAAGAGTTGGCAAGCTTGGGTGAGTTTCCCTTTTGCTAAGAAAGAGCATTACTTTTTGTCTTCACAAAGGTTAGTTTTTACATTTACTGAACAAGTATTATGCACTTACTATTATGATTTGCTTTAGGTGAGTGCCCGCTTGATCCTGGTGGTTATTTTGTTATTAAAGGGACAGAAAAGGTGATACCCTTAATCTGCTCTTGGTTATATTGCATCATATAGTGTCATCGCTTGTCCATGTCGCCGTGGTTCTGATTCTTCTGAGCTTTACCAGGTGATTTTAATACAAGAACAGCTTTCAAAGAACAGAATAATCATTGATACTGATAAGAAGGGATGGTAAGCATTGTCGTGCCCAAATGTTTAATTTTTTATTTACCCCCAAGTGAAATTCCTCTTCTGCTACCTATTCATTTGAACTTTTTATTTTCTCTTGTCTAGTTATCATCTCTTTGTTCTTCCTTACGATTAAAATGGGTGATTGTTAGCTAGTATTTTGTTCTACTCCTTTTTTCTTGTAATACTCTGGAATCGACAATTTAGCAATTGGTGAAAATGGTATCTCAGGATTATGTAGACTATGCCGGATTTTCGTAATTTTTTATTTTTCTTGAGGAGTCAAGTAACAAAGTGTCTAATAGGTGTTCCGCGGTGCTTGCATTCTTTTGATGGATTGTTTGGTCTTTCCTTTGCAGTGTGCAAGCATCTGTCACTAGTAGTACGGCAGCAACAAAAAGCAAAACTGTCATAAGAATGGAGAAGGAGAAGATATATCTATACCTGAATCAGTTTAAGACTAAGGTTGTAATCTCCCTTACTTTGTATTACTTGTATTGAAGGAAAAGGTGCTGGAGATAATAAGAAAGTATCGCTTGGGGTTGAAATAAGTCTAAACAGCATTGGCAAAAAAATGGATAAAGGAAAAAAAGAAAAACAAATTTCTATCAACCAATTAATTTTTTTTTTTGAAACTTTATTTTGCAGGTTCCCATTATGGCGGTTATGAAGGCTATGGGAATGGAGAGTGATCAGGAGGTTGTCCAGATGGTTGGAAGGGATCCTCGTTACAGTGCACTACTTTTGCCTTCCATTGAGGTACATCAGTTCTACTATTTGGTTGTTTCCTTAACATAGTTGGATAAAAAGAGATTAGGAAAAGGGACAAATTTAGATTTATGTGTCCTAATTGTGCTCTGCCGGAAGTGATTGTTGCATATGTAATTACGTGCATTAATGTGGCAGATTTGATGCTTCAAGTTTCTGCACTGGATGTACCCAAATTTTGAATTATAAATTGTTTTTAACTTTTGGGTTAGAATTTATAGTTCAAAGAGTAAGAAAGGGGAACCTACATTACATGATTGAACCATTGTAACATCCGACTCAGGAAATAGACATGTCTTACGACCAGGATTCTAGTTTTTTACATCACTTTTACAGCAAAATTTCCATTATTCATTTTGATTTTTAATTTCGATCATTATTCAGAAATATAAATATTTTTTGACAGTGTATGAAAAGATGGTGCTTCTGTTACTGAATATTTGCTTATGTGGTAATAGTTTTGATTATTTTGAGCTGAACACATCTGCCGCCTACGTACATGAGGACACCAAAGGGGAAAATACACTTTAGTTGCCGTCAATTGGTTTTTTTTAATTCTACTGTTTCCATGGTTCAGGAAACATGAGATTCTCATGGGTATTGGGTGTTTTTTGTTGGTTTCTGTTGCTACTATACAAACTTATCTGCAGTTTTTTGGTTCTGTATGTATCAGGAATGTGCAAAAGCAAATGTATATACACAACATCAGGCCCTGGAATATCTGGAGAAACAGGTTTGTCTTTGATTGGGCTGCAAGTTTCTTTCGCATGGTGGTTTTAACCTCTTATTTACTTTAATTTAATTTTTCTGTTTTAATTGCATAGATTCATCTATTCTTCACTGAAATCTTGGAATTTTGAATTGAAAAATGGAAATGGATTCTGATGTAACTAAGTGCTACAATTGAATGAAATTTGTGGTTGCTAGTAATTTTATTTTCAGCAATCTAGTGAATCGAAATGCTAGTCACTCCTTGAGATGCCTAATTCCATGGATGTCTAGATTAGTTATGTTGCATCCAATGGTTATATTGTCCAAGGATGTATTTAATTTCTTAAAATTGAAAACATCACTTAGTTACATCTGAACTGTTGCGGAGATGCAGCCGCAAAGGGGAAATAGAAAAGGAAAGAAAAATGAAAAACAACCTTATCAGTAGAAGAGCACTGCTAAATTGCTCACTATTTGTGCTCGTGTTTTCCATAGATGCCCATTTGGAAAACACACTCAGTCTTATTTGTGCTGTTTCCTTATGCTAGACTTGTGTAAAAATACTAGCGAATCTCATGGGAAGAAATTAAGGAAGTTAGTGAGATATTGAATAAAGTGTTCTGTCTGGTTTCTTGTCAATCTCAAAGACCAATGATGTTTGCAGTAAACCCTAAAGATGGTGAGAGAGATAGAGCAACTTCACAAATTTGGCCTGATTTGCTATGCAGATGTAAAGTTATCATTAACTTTTCTTTTATGTTTCCAACCTTATCCTTATGCTAAATGGGTGCCATTGGCGAGGATAAAAGCTTTTGGAGTTGTGCCGTAGCAAATGCATCAGGAACAATATGAAGAATGGGATATATTTTTATTGGTACTTAGGTTTGAACCTCGAAGTAAGATGTGGAAAAATGGGTTCAATAGGTGTTGCTTAGGGACTAAAGGGCCTTCCAAGCTAATATTTGTACGTGATGAAGAAAAGGGTGGAAACAACTTGACGTCTGTTTCCTGATATATAAAAACTTAAAGGGCCTTAAACTTCCGTAAATTCTTTGAATTTAATACTCTGGAAAACAAATCATTTTTGTTTTTTTTTTTCTAGCTTAGAAGGACCCATGGCTTGTCACATAATTTATAAGATGTTTTTATAGCTAAATATTGTTGTGTTTTTGTTTAGTTGATAGATCATTAATGAATATTAGTTTGAGTTTAGGCTAAACATGTCAATGACATTCAGTCATGAGAGTGCCTGAAATATATGCTATATCTGACATTGTGTTGAAGCGTAAGAAACAGCTGTAGAGTACTATATGGAGAGACAATTCTATGTGCATTCTTGTAGTGACTAGTTCCGCAGTTATGTGGCTTTATTATCATTGGATTATCCAAGTAACCGTTGCTGAGTGGCTGGTTCCATATTGTCCTTGTACCTTTAAATGGTGAAGGGCAATTTTTATGCTGATTTCCTATGCCTCCACGTTCTTGGCTCCTTTAAAAGCTGTTCTAACTTCACTTCTTTCTGGATAGTCATCTTGAGTGCCTCACACTTATCATTTCTTTCAATATATTTTATGAGAAATTTTTGCGTTAGTTATTTAGATGTAAATGTTTATTGCAGGTTAAACCATTGCCTTATGCCTCTACCAGAACTGTGAGTGGGTTTGATTTCTCGTCTCTTTTCTGGTTTTTGGGTTTATACTTTTGTGGTATGTTTGATTGCAGTATGACAAAATTTCTCCTGATATGACATTTAGGAAAAAAGGGCTTCCAGTATTCTCCGAGACATATTTATTGCTAACGTCCCGGTAAGAAAGATTCCTACTTTGTAGAATTATGCATTTCTCATTGTTTCGTCTCACCTTTCTTCCATTCTACCTCTGTTACTCTTTCTAGGTGCATGATAATAACTTCCGTGCAAAATGCATCTATGTTGCTGTAATGCTTAGACGGATGATGGAGGCAATTTTGAATAAGGATGCAATGGATGACAAGGTACCATGTCCTGAATATTTTGGTTTTGACCATTTGGTTCAATACTGGTTAGGGGCATTATCTTCCTCATCCTTTTTTGGGGGTAATATTATCCATGTAAAATGGGTGATAATCTGCAAAATATGGCTTCCACTTAATTATTGTAATATGGCTTTGATATATATAAATTCGGCAACACTATTGAAAGCTTGTTTATTATAAATTTCTTCCCCAACATCCTGGCTGGGGGGGGGGGGTTCATTTCATCATAACAGATTGCTCAGTAAAGTCGGAAATTGGAACCTTTTGTTTAGGACAGATAAAATTGTGTAGATTTGTTGCTCTCTTTGGTTATACAGGGTTATGATGCAATCTAACTCGTTATTCTCTGGATGTTGTTGTCATGTGAAAATCTAATTTCTATAGGATTACGTGGGGAACAAACGACTAGAGCTTTCTGGTCAGCTTTTATCTTTACTTTTTGAGGTAACTTTCTTGATTCGCTTGTATAGATCTGCAGGCTGTATGTTCTCATGAGTTTGTGTATGTTTCAATAACATAAAGCCTTGCAGGATTTATTCAAGACAATGAACGATGAATCGAAGAAGTTGATAGATACTGTTCTAGGAAAGCCGAATAGGAGTAGCCTCTTTGACATGTCCAAGGTACGATTCTCCTGAAGAAGTAATGTGAGTCTGCTAATATCCCTTGATGGTCAAGCTGCCTTTTTCTTTATCCTTTCTTGAAAGATAATGAATAAAATGCTAAGACAGGAATGTGTCTGAAGCTGCATTCGTAGTTTGCCTCAAATTAGAAAAACATGTACTGCAGCATGTGTGGAGGTGGAGTCGAGCCTCCGGACTTGGCTGTGTAGCTAAATCACAGGATACTTGCAATTATATTGGTTTTCTTGGAACCTAGGAGCATCTAACTAAATCATGGATAATTGGATCCAACATGCTACTAACCTGTCTTCTTAGTATCACTCCAATTAATTTTGAAGAGCCTATAAAGAGATATATCAGAATGAACTGTGTTGTTCAGTTTCATTAAATATGGTGAGCACTTTTTCAGGATAGCTGATTCTTGCTAATTCTGCATTCTTGCTAATTCTGAAGAGCCTATGGAGAATATCCTCAAGCTAAGCGCATACTGAAAGTAGTTCTCCTAGAATTTAACCCAAAATGGTATTGTCTTCTTGCAAGAGGCTTGTGATTTGTTTGTATCTGTAGTGTGAACTTTTGAACCTGTAATAATTTATGTGTTCTGTATTTTCAAATTTATTCTGATTGTGGAACCAGCAATGAAATTTGATATAGATCTTAGTCTAGGTGTGCTTCAAAATGCGAAACAATTGAAATTAATCTTTCTCAGTAGTGAAGCTTGACCTCAACTGAAGTTTGCTTGAAAGTGGTATACCATTCATGTCTTGTATGTGCGGTAGCAGATCATTCTCACTTGCATAGGAGTCAGAAGAGTCTGACTCAAGTAATTTCTTATGTGTACTCTTCTTGCAGTATATAGTGAGAGATAGCATCACTGTTGGACTGGAAAGGACTCTTTCTACTGGCAACTGGGATGTCAAGCGATTTAGGATGCACCGCAAAGGGATGACCCAGGTATGCAATTCAGTAGTAGGTTCACTGGCAGTCTGGCTTGGTACTTTCAAGGTTAAGGTTTCATGCAATGTATTATTCGGGGACTTGTCATTCAAATCGCTAATTTATAAGTTATCTTAGGTGTTCGAAATTGACACTAGATAGATATTGTTCATTGGTAAAAGACTAGTTTGTTTCCTTGTAATTTTCAAATATTTGTCAGCCTGCTAGAAATTTGAAAAATGTCATTGTTGATTCCAGGTTGTGGCTAGACTTTCGTACATTGGGACAGTGGGTCACATGACAAAGATATCTCCACAATTTGAGAAGTCCAGGAAAGTTAGTGGACCGAGGGCCCTTCAACCTAGCCAGGTGAATTTCAATTAGTTTTCATTAACTTCTTCATCCCTTGGGTATAAAAGAAGAATGTTATGCAATGATTTATTTTACTTTCCCCTGAAGGTTTTTGCATAATCTTTTTATGTTTAAATATTCCATAAATATCAATTGTAGTGGGGCATGCTTTGCCCTTGTGACACCCCAGAAGGTGAAGCTTGCGGATTGGTGAAAAACTTGGCCCTGATGACTCACGTTACCACTGATGACGAAGAAGGCCCAATTATTTCTCTGGTATAGTTTTTATGTGCCTCCATCATCTTGAAGCTATTATTTTGGATATTAGAAAATGGTGATATGATAAAGTTAGTCTTTGTGTCTTTCATGAAGTGACTACTATTGAAGCATTTGGACTAGTTTTAGCTTTAATGTTGGAAATACTTGTTATGGAGTTGCCCTGGCCATTATATGAACCTGAGCTCTATGTTATATTATGTTCCACTGCATAAAAGGATACGTCTGTCAATGCTTGTAGAAATTATGTAAGTACTCTCAGATTTGTTCGTTGGCACTGTGTAAAAACTGCAAATGTGCATAATCCTATCGTGTTTAATTCCAACATGCATATAAATATTCATGGGCTACCGTTGCAGTTCTATGACAGAGTGGTCTGATGTAAATCTGAGGTTATCACTGTTACTATTACTAACTAAGCATTCTTAAGTAGCCTAGAAGAGCTGAACTGGTTTGGCATCTTATCCATCCATTAATTGTTGCTTTGATATCTTAGTCATCCTCCTCAACTAGTGGTGTAGTGAGTTTAATAAATAATCAGAGCCATGTGGAATTGGCATGGCCTTCTGTCTACCTCAATCCTGACTTCTGAAAGCATGTCTCCTGAATCTCTACCTTTTTGGGGATGATCAAGTATTCCTGTGCAATATCAAAAGAATGAATAATTAAATTTGTTTCTTGATTCACACCCAAAAGAAGACTTATATAGAAGCTCAAAAAGGTGAAATTAGGCTCCCACACTTGTACTGATGTGTTAAAGAGGTGTGCTATACCTGTTCCAAATCCAAAATGGATAAATGAGGCCTTGATGCGCTGATATCTACTTACGCATGCTCGAATAACCTTCTCTCATCACGAAAATGTGTGAATTTTATTTCCTTTTTTTTTGGTTTACTTGTTCCTCCGATTGTATTTAAAGAAGATGTATCACCAACGATATGTTAGAGCTATAACTTAATGAAATTGATGCTGTAATGTAAAATTTGTTTGCACATATACAATTGAGTTCTATTCTGTATCATCTTGTTGTCTGAAGAAGGGGAAGGAAGGTTGAGATGATATTACTAATGTTGCTTGCAATAAACCCTTAGCTATATAAGAATCTGGATCCTTTTTTTGGTTTCATTTGTTTTATGTGCAATTATTTGCGCAACTTCTCTAACCTTCTAAAATTTCTCGTGCTGTAGTGCTACTGTTTGGGGGTTGAAGACTTGGAACTGCTTTCGGGGGAAGAACTTCACATGCCGAACTCCTATCTGATCATGTTAAATGGACTTATTCTTGGAAAGCACCGGAAGCCACAGGTATATCTGTGATTGTATATATGAAGGGGAAAATAGCTATAGAATATCTGCATGACTCGAATGTGTCTATATTCAATATATATATATATATATATATATATGTATATGTATATGTATGTATGTATGTATGTCTCTAAATGTGCGATAAATGGAGTTCTAATTGCATGTTAAGCATATGTTTGCTGAAGTAAGGCTGGAGTACCGAGTTCAGAGTGTAAGGGTCAATGAACTCGTACCCAGGCACCCATGCTGGGTAAATGTGGTTTTTCATTCATACTAGTTCAATAGAATGTGCTCTTAATCAGTAGTCTTAAGGTATTGTGAATTTTATTTTGTGATTCTTTTCCTCAGCGTTTTGCTACTGCAATGAGAAAATTGCGGAGGGCTGGTAAAATCGGGGAGTTTGTGAGCATTTTTGTGAATGAAAAGCAGGTATGTTTTGAGACTATATTGTGCTTCTTTACCTTTGATATTTTTTGCTGTATATGAAATGATCTTATGGGGCTATGTAATCAAAAGTAGGAAATTTTTTGCAGCATTGTGTTTATATTGCATCAGATGGAGGCCGTGTTTGTCGTCCTCTTGTTATTGCTGATAAAGGTGTCTCTAGAATTAAGGAACACCATATGAAGGAGTTGAAGGTAGCTTTTTCCACTGTTTCCGCTATATATTAACAATTGTTGCATCAATTTAACAAAATATCTTTGCTTGGCAGGATGGTGTTCGCACCTTTGACACCTTTCTTAGGGAGGGTTTGATAGAGTACCTTGATGTTAATGAGGAGAACAATGCTTTGGTTTGTATCTGTTATAGAATTTTTGAGATACGCGTTTCTTAAGAGCTAACAGATTGACAAGCATCGTGCTTACTGTGGCTGAATATCACTTTTAACAGATCGCTTTGTATGAAGGAGAGGCTACTGAAGAAACGACACATATCGAAATAGAGCCTTTTACCATCTTGGGTGTTTGTGCCGGGTTGATTCCATATCCACATCATAACCAGTCCCCGAGAAACACCTATCAGGTTTATTGTGTCCTGCTACAAGTCGATTTTTTTAACCAGGCCAAATAAAAGCATTAACTGATTGTTTTTTCCGATTCATTTGCTAGTGTGCTATGGGAAAGCAAGCTATGGGCAACATCGCGTATAACCAGGCAAGTAGTTTCAATTCAGATTGGTTTTTCTAGATTGTTCTAGATTGTTCTAGATTGGTTACGAATTGTGGTCTGTTATACTTTATTTGTCCATTTAGTTTTCAGATCTTGGTAATTTTGCATAGCTCTTAGCTTTTATGGTCCCAAGGTCCTGGCTTGTATACTACTAATTTTTAGGAAGCTCAATCATCCTTGAATCTATGATTTCTGTCCCATTACATGCAACACGAGTGAGTTTTGAGATATATATACACACACACATACAGACAATTAGCGCCCAAGTCCCAACCTAGATTTCTCCACTATTTAATCTTTTCATTTTGTTTAGTGTCAGGAGCTGACCATAATTGTTTCCTAACCAGAAGTTCTCTTCAAAATCATTCGCTGAAAACATGACCCCTTTTGTTTGCCATTTTTGAGGGGAGGATCCTTCTTTGTGCTTCTGCAGTTGATTATTCTAGATTTTTGTCACACCCTTTAGCTAGCATGCTACTGATTTCATTTACTTGCAGTTATGTCGGATGGATACATTGCTCTACCTTTTGGTCTATCCCCAAAGACCTCTATTAACAACCAGAACAATTGAGCTGGTAATGTCAATGACCTAATATCTTTTACCTATGTTTAAAAATTTTCATGAAATAACAATTTACGTTTCAGGTTGGATATGATAAGCTTGGTGCTGGACAAAATGCCACAGTAGCAGTCATGAGTTATAGTGGATATGACATAGAGGATGCAATAGTTATGAACAAATCATCTCTTGATCGTGGTTTTGGACGTTGCATCGTAATGAAAAAGTATGTGCATTCTGTTATTTTCATGGGAAAAAAATAATTTTTGTTCCATTTATGTATTTCAATTTAAAACTTGGTCTGCAACATTTGGACCTTTAATCTGGATTAGCAGGTCATAGTTGAGTAAAAGTTGCAACATTAGGATTCACTTCACGTATATCTTTTCAATCCTGAAAAATGAGTAAAAGTTGCAGAGTGTTTCACTTTCAGTCCTTAGTATTTTGGTAAAAATACTGTTGGGACGCCAATGATTTTATTGATTTATAGTAATTATTTATTTACCGTATATTAATACATTTATTCAAAGGGTAATTTGCGATTCTATTGTGAAAGAAAATTACCCAATTTGAGAAAATAACTCCAAAACTTTTGAATGCAACGATAAAAAATCAAGGATGAATTCTTCTCATGTAAATTTCATGATAACCTCCTTAGCCTCCTACTTTATGAAATCTTTTTTTTTTCCTCCCTTTAAATTTGAGGCAATTATTAATTTATTATACAGTTGGAAAGTATATCTAAGGGGTTTAAAAAAATTTTTATCTTATTATTTTACCAATTTTGTTTGTCTTTTGCTGGTCCCAAGTCGGGACCAAGAAAAATTATTATTTAATAGAGTTTATTAATTTATAAAGTATTAATGCAGAGTTTTTACTGTACTTTTGTAGTTTTTTAGTTCGGTATTCTTAGCCCCCCTATGTTTTTTCCATGTCATAATAATTGCAAATTTGAGTAATATTTTACTTCATAATCATCTAATGTTGTCTATATGCTTTTCACTAGAAATATTGTGAGTAAGTTCTTAAAATAGAACTTTGGGGTAAAAAAGGAGATATGGAACCTGATTATTGTTATTGAACAAAAAAATTGTGACCATTGACTGGTAGGAACTCAATATTGACCAGTAAATCCAGGATAAAGGTTCTAGTGAAGCCACAAGGACAAACCCTTGGGACTGAACTGACAAATTCTGTTGATCAAGTTGCCAAATCTCCTCCACTTTTCCACTGATATTATTGAATTTCGTCCCATTTGCATTCCTTTTGATTGCTACTCACCTCACTCTCTCCTTTTATATCAACCAGAATGGTTGCCCTGAGTCAGAAATATGAGAATGGTGCATCTGATCGGATAATTTGTCCTCCGCGTGAAGGGTATGAAGCAGAAAGGATGCAGGTTTGTGACAGTATATATTGACTTTGACTGCATCGGAAGATTTTGTTAGTCAAATTGCATAGTCACACCTCCGACAGTGGAGGCAGCTGCCTGTTATGCCAAAGTTATTATCACATAATTTATGGCCGAGATGCAACCTTTCTTTTATGTTCCGAAAACATTAAGCATATGCCTCTCATTGAACCTCCAGATACTTAATCATGTATTCATCTGTATACCACTGTGTGATTCTGAATATATGTGAATGTATTAACAGATGTAGGCTGACATTTCAAGACTTAGTGGCTGCTTCATACTATTGCATTTCTAGAGATGTGTCTTCAATATCTTCCATTTGTGTGCGTGTGGGTGGGTGCGTGGGTGCGTCTCACAATGGCACTATGTCCAAACCTAGAGCCTTACCATGGATTGCTCGTGTAGAAATGACTTTTTGTCAATAGAGTTGTTTGGTTTGCTTGTAGGTTAGAATATATCAAGCCACCCTCCAACCTTTGGCTTGCGCCACTTCCCACTGGTATCTGCTGGCTAGCAAGTTCTAGTTTTGCTCCGGTACCTAACGCAAATGCACCATACATGCAGCCTTTTGTGCCATTTTCCCCTCAGTTCTTGCTGGTTCTAGCGTTGCTGTAATTGCTCCCTCTTTAATTGAGAATTGTTTAAGTAGATTAATCATCCCCGCTCAACTTAAATACTTGTAAGGTGCACCTCCTCCCGCACATTTTGTTTCGCCATCTGTCACATCTAGCAGATACCAAAACCTTTGCAGGCATTCTTCGTCTTTTTTCTATTCTCATTTTTTCAAATTGCAAAATGTTTTAGAAAAGTATTTTCAGTTGGTTTGGCTGATGGCCAGCAACGGGCTCTTTTTGAAAGAAAATTTGGCACTGGTGGTTGCTGGGCAAGGATTGTAGTGCGATGGGTAGAGGTGGATGATGATGAATGGGATCGCCTGTCTTAGGTTGTATTTTTTATGGAAACATGAAGTTGAAATGTGTTTTGAAGAGTCCATAGACAATTAATATTGTTGCCTGGGCCATGTGGATAATGCAAAAATTGTGTTGGTAGAGGTTAAATTTTCTGTTTCCTATGGTTTACTTATTGAGTATCTAACTATTGTTTCTATGGTTTTAAACCGTAATGTTGCATCTAGATTTTGGATGATGACGGGATAGCTGCTCCTGGAGAAATAATCAGAACCCATGATATCTATATCAATAAGCAGTCTCCTACAGTGACAAGGGGCGCCCCTGCACCAAACCTGCCTGATAGGTTTATATCTGGTACCATGATTGATTGTTAAAATCCTCTTCATTCTGGATATGTGGATAACATGCTCTACCATTACTGTTATCTCAGTAAATACAAGCCGAGTAGGCAAACTTACAAAGGTCCTGAAGGGGAGACAGCAGTTTTGGATAGAGTAGCTCTTTGTACTGATAGGAATAATAATATGAATATTAAATTTATGGTGCGCCATACTCGTAGGCCCGAGGTAAGATACTTTAGCTCACTTTCAATTTAGCTGGCTTACTTGTGCTGGAGATCCACAATCTAAAGTTGAGGCTGGAAGTTATAAATTTTTGTTATGACCAGGTTGGAGACAAGTTTAGTAGCAGACATGGACAAAAAGGTGTTTGTGGGACTATTATTCAACAGGAAGATTTTCCATTTTCAGAACGTGGTATATGTCCTGATTTGATTATGAATCCACATGGATTTCCAAGGTACCCACTTAATTAATTCTGTTAACCACTTTTACATTTGTGGGATCAAATGAAGCTTTACGAGGAGTTAGATCTTTTCATCACATGTCATTAAACTGTATAATGCTTTTCTGATAGAGGAATCTTTCTGGTGTGATTTGATTATAAATCTTTAGTGAAGTAGGTTGGTAGAAGATGATTTTACTTTTGAGGGGTAAATATGATATTAAACTGAAGGGCAGTCTTTATTCCCTTGTTTACTGCTGCTCATAAATACACTGCACCTTTTATAACAGTAGATATTCTCATTCTCCTTCCTGGAGAGGATACCATTTTCCATTCTTACATTAGCATTTCCATATATGGCACTACACCATTTCTGCAGAAGGCCAATTCAGTTAGTACTGGAACTGTCTCTTTTGGTTGGAGGAGATGGAAAAATGTGCATGTTTTGGTGCCTGCTTGTCAAAATTGTTTCAGTTCACCTTGGAATACCTTTGTGATTAGTAATTTTAATGTGTAAACCAGCCGTATGACAGTTGGAAAGATGATAGAGCTTCTCGGGAGTAAAGCTGGAGTTTCAAGTGGTAGGTTTCATTATGGAAGTGCATTTGGAGAACCTAGTGGTCATGCAGATAAAGTTGAAGTTATAAGGTACTCTCTTTCTACTGGGCTGTCAATTAGTGTTTCCTGTTTTTACTTTCTCGCTAGGTAATCTTTCCTTGCATCAGTGAAACCCTGGTCAAGCACGGCTTCAGTTACAATGGCAAAGATTTCATCTATTCGGGTATGTTTTTTTCTCTCTTATCAAATGATTTTTTGCAGGCTATTTCCTTTGTAAGATCTGTCAATTAGTTCTCAGATAAACTTAGTGAATGCTTTTGGTTCCTGTATTAGTTTTGATCCGATTAACTTGGCATAAGACATTTCAATTATTTCACGATTCAAGGAATGTGAAGTTTTATATTGGCGATATATTGAGTCTTGTATTTCAAGGTTTGGAAACAATTTGATCCATCAGAAGGGTAAAATACATTAGTAATGGATGTGTACACTTTTTATTTATTTTTTATTTTATTTTTAAAGGGATCAATAGTGTGCACTTTTTTTTCTGTAAAATTTAGCGTCTAAGGAACTCTTGGACACTGTGGATCAGTTGGATGCTTTGGATTTTTTCCTTAGCTGTTATAGTTGATAATGTAGAATAGAAGTGGAGCCAAGTCAATTTATTGTAAAATAATTTGAATTGATTTGTTTATGATCTTTTAATCTTAGAATAAGAAAGACATACATTATAAATTTTGTATTATTTGCATATTCAAATTACCATTAAATGAGTCTGTATTTCACATGCTATATAGATAGGGATTTGCCATGTATTATGGATTTGATTCTACAACCTGCCAACTAATGGCAATTCACAACTATGTGTATAATGGATTAGGAATGGATCATTACATTGATCGAGTGAAACTCATAATTGCTCTTCTTCCAGGTATTACTGGTTTGCCCCTGCAAGCCTATATCTTTATGGGTCCAATTTATTACCAAAAGCTCAAGCACATGGTGAGACTTGAACTATAATGTGCTTCCTTATTTCCGTAGTTAGTGAAGTTACTTGTGGCGTTTTCCCAATTGATTTTCATAGCATTCTGATCTTCTCTGCTTCTCATTGCGGGCTTGCCATTGACATTTTTATCTGCATGATGCATCTATCATTGGCATGTAATACTTTTGGTAAAGAGAGATGATCAGTGTGTCTGTGTCTTAGAGTAAAGTATTTTCCTGTATAAAGGTGCTAATTTTTTCGTTTTGCATGTTAGGTTTTGGATAAAATGCATGCTCGAGGCAGTGGTCCTCGTGTAATGCTTACAAGACAGCCCACGGAGGGGAGGAGTAAAAATGGAGGTCCGAATTCATTTTAACTTAAAGTGGTGTGAACTTTTCGGAAACTTACAAATAATAATCTGATTGTCAAAATTCTTTAGGTCTTCGTGTGGGAGAAATGGAACGTGATTGTTTGATTGCATATGGTGCTAGCATGCTGATATATGAACGGTTAATGATCTCCAGTGATCCTTTTGAGGTTAAGGTGTGTGAATACTGTGCATAATGCTGCTTTCTCATTGCATTTTCTGGTTTTTAATTTCAAGTTGGGAAATTTCATACTGGATTCATCCTATTTTTCCTTGGAAAGGCTAAAAGATTCATTTGACTTTGGGATTTTAATTTATTTTGACTTTTATAGATCACAAGTGCCCTTTTGTATCTCTCCTATTGCTTTATAATTCATTTTGTGTTATGGTAATTACTTTATAGCTGCATTTTAGCTTCTTAGTTTTTACTTCAAGGAATATGCTGAGTAATGATTTTTGGTCACAGGTGTGTCGAAAATGTGGTCTGTTAGGATACCACAATTATAAACTGAAGGCTGATGTTTGCTCGACATGTAAAAATGGAGATAATATATCTACCATGAAACTGCCATATGCGTGCAAGCTCTTAATCCAGGTAAAGTTATTTCGTGAATGGTGCCTGAGGTTAACCATGGACCCCTTCAGTTTCTGGTAGCTTGCTTTCTTTAATTGAAGCTGTCAATGCCCTCTCTTGACCTTTTACTCATTCTGGTGTCTTGCCCTTGTTGTATCCTTAACTGAGGTTTAAGGCTTAGTTGTTGTTGCTGTTGTTATATGGCATGTGTCATTCTGTTGTAAATTAATGAACTTACCGTGAAAAGTAGTTTTATCTCAAACTCTAAGGTGCTTTCTTTATTGGCTTCTTGCGAATAACATAAAGCTGCTTCAGATGAGTGTGACCCATGGTCTAGTACTCATTCTGATCACGTGAAGAAAGCAATAACAGAAACTAAACTGACATAATGATTGTTGATGTAGTTGTATTGTGTTCTGCTTTTCCTGGTTACATTTGCTCTTGCTGTGTTCCAAATCTCCAGTTCATTCTCCTGTAGTCACTTTCAGATGAGGCGCACGCTTTTTCTGGTGGTTTGTGAGAAAGAATTTTCTCAAAGGAAATCTTCAATTTTAGAATAGTCTACTAGGACATATTGAATAGGAAAATTATGTGGTTACGATGTAAGATGGACTACTGAAATACAAAACCGAGAAGTGATGAAGTCTAGACTAAGGAATCAGATGTATGAATATTGATCTTAAATGTAGTTTGTCTAGTCTGTCTTCTTTATTGTTTTCTCAGTTTCCCCCTTGATATTTGGAAATTAAAACCATCGATGTATGCAAACATTAGCATTAGGAGGACTTCATGTTGTATGATCTGAGACCTTAAGATTCTCAAGAATTTTGTCGAGGTACTATGGTCATGACAATTCACCCGGGAGGTCTGTAATTTATCGTAGAACCTCTCTAACTTATCATTGATCTCATGCAGTCATGTAATCCAACATGGTCAGATCTATTGAACTTAGCTTAAGTTCCAAAAATCCACCCATTTCTTGCATGTTGGGATTCGACATGGGAATTCATTATGGATGCCTTTTGTCATGTTAACATACTCACTAGTTTTCTTCTTCTGTTTTCCCAATGGGGTGAGATACAGTTAAATTCCGTTACTACAGGTGTGTGTGCCACAAGTTTCTTTATTTGTTCAGCAGTTTGCTTTTTGTCTTGGAATATTTTCTGTCCGGGATTGAATTCTGAAGCAAACTCCATTTTTATGTAAAAGTGCATTTGTTTGTTACTTACTGTACTGAAGTTGTGGACTCTTGACACCTCGTTCTTGTTCACCAGGAACTCCAATCAATGAACATTGTACCTCGCTTAAAACTCACGGAGGCTTAGGTGAAAGTCTTTTTTGGTCTTGAGGTACTAGAATACTTGAGAAGGATATGTGATCAAGATATTGCTGCTGCCCCTAATGCATATTGTGGCAAATATACATCCCTCAAGTATTATTCCAGTCTTGCGTATTGCAATCAGATAGTCCGAGCTTAGAGTAAGTGCCATCATGTTCCCGGGATACCTTCGATGGGGAAGTGCCAAGTTCAATTCACAAGGGGATGAGATTTTGGTTTTTCATGATATAGTTCAATAGGTCGCATACTCTCATGTTTTCTATCGTGGTTGTGTAGGAAAAGGATAAACGAGTTTTGCTTCTTGTCCTTTTCTTTACGAAGCAAAGGATAAGAGGAGGATTGTTACTTTTTTGAGTTTTTTTTTTCTCCCATTCGAAATTTTAATGAATGACATCTCCACTTTCTCACATACGTTTTACACTAATAATACCAACTTTGATGCTTTTTCCAAAAACAAAAAAAGAAGCCAGCTTAAAGAGGACTATAGCCGGTAAGATAATCCTTTTGGAAGGAGGAAAAGGGGATGGAGGAAAAGGGGATGCAATGCACGCATTCCCCCAATCAAAGGAACTTGGATTTCATATGATCTGTTCAGTCTATGCAAACAACACATCATAACTATTTTTAGGCTATACCACAATGGTATAAAGGCAAACTACTAGGGATACATAGGAAGTTGATGATATTTGCAGTCAACAACCAAAAAAGAAAATCAACATCCTACATGCAAAGAGATCAGATGGTTTGTTAACCGCAAAAAAAAAAAAAAAAAAGAAAGAAAGAAAAAGAGAGAGAGATCAGTTGGTTTTCTACTTGTAAGTTAACTATACATTTTACGGTGGGGGCGAAACGATAGAGATACTCAACTCTGCTCCTTGTATGGGGTCCATATTAGTTTACTAACATCAACATCTAGACCACCTCGGCCAGCAGCTTTCAGATGGCGGTCAAGGACCTTGGGATCTGCACATATTACATGCTGTCCCTTCCGGTACTGGATCAACTCTAAAGTTTGTAGAGTGGCCAAGATATCCTCAGCCTTGATCGCTGTCATGTCACTGAGCTCCTGCACGATACAATTACGTAGGGACATGTTAAGAAGATTACTAAAAAGAGATCGCAGTGAGAAAATAAGGTATGACGGGCTCTTCCGTTCTCAACTATGTGCCCGGGAATTTCAATTCACAGATATAAGTGAATTATTCTAACTTCAATCAAATACTAGCTCTTCTCACCCCAACTGGAAAAAGAGGGGAGAAAATAGGGGGACAAATAATAGGCTATGCAACAAAACCCAACAATCGATGACTAGGGGGACCAAGGAAACTTCATGATTTATTTCAAGTATTCATCTGTGTACATTTCTTGTAGTACAAATGAGTAGTATTCGCAAATGCAACCAACAATCAAAACACACCGTCATTACCACTTAGACATTCAATCTGCAACTAAATGTCACTAGGAAAAGAGTAGACACTGAGAACATTTTAAAAATATGCGCACAAAAGGATTCATAAGTATTCAACAAAGAATCGATGGTCAGGATTGGCAAGCGTGAATGAGAAAAGGCTCAAACCTTAATAGAAATATTCCCCTTGTGCTTTTTCAATATATCCAGAAGAACACGCGTCCAGTACCCCCTATAGCTCAATAGACCTAAGTCAGAAAGGGGCCTTTCAGGAGTTCCAACTTTGTTCTCTTTCTTTGACAGTTCATATGCTGCATCAAAATTAAGACGACAATTAGCTTTACCAGAATGAGAATTTCAGATGCCAAAATAACATCAGCGAAAAAGAGCAACGAAAGATTACCCCCCAAAAAAAACTATATCATTCAGGCAATAAAACAGTAGTAACAAGTATTTCAGTCGCAAATTCTATTTCTGGAATTCAATAAGAACAAGTAAAAACCAAGTACAAGATCTAGAGGATTATATGTGTGTATTCTCTCCAGGTGCACTGGTGCACATTATCACGTATCACCAGAAGAAAGAGTAAACAGGAAAAGGTTTACTAAGTTAAGCTGAAAACCCAATATCGATAGAACTCTTTCAAGATAGAGTACATGATACTCTTCAGACTGCAATTGATACTGTAGGTAGTGATAAAAGAAGAAAGCAAGTTACATGGACACTGTGCATCATGGACTATAGTAATTAGGTTATCCTGGTATATTTGACATTATCAATAAAAGAAACCAAAATTAAGAGAATACACATTCTATGCCAAACTTTTATCAGAAGAGTTAACAACCCCAACGCATTCCTTAAAAAAGCTCTCTCATTGTTTCCATGGATCAATGCATAAAATGGGAAGCAACAAAAGCACCATGAACAGAGACTTACAGAAAGCAATTAGAAATTTCCCATAACCTTTCCTCTGATAAGGAGGAAGGGTCAGAATGCAGGCCAGATTATATGACTCCTCGGAATGCTTTTCCTGCATAGAGTCAAGATATGCCTCATCATATATCTCGTTGTTGAAAAAAAATCTTATGTAACATCACTATAAGGTGTACAATATGACTATACAACAGCATGGCAGGGAGAAACAAGAATCAGTGTTACTAAGTTAAACAATTCTCTCAATCCTTTTGTCTAGTGTATCACACAAAGGGTGAAGGACCAAAAGTTAAACATGTATTTCTTTCTTCACAAGAGAAAATCACGATAACATGTTTTATAGTCACGTGTGACCCCCCAATATTCAATATCAGAAAAAGGAACTCCTGCTAATTGAAAACCCACCCTTAAACACAAGGCACAATGTGAGCAACAGAAAGAAACTGAAGTTACACATTACATTACTGAGTTGCACCATTTCAACTTATCTATGGTACACAACATCAGCAACCCCATTTCATCTTATCTATGTCACATAACATTAGCAACCCCATTTCAACTTATCTATGTTAGATAACATTAGCAACCAGTTGACCAGCAATTACAATTATCAGCCAGAATGGTTGGACCCGTGTTTCATACATTCAAGACACCAGATGTAGATCCAAGCACAAGTATGCTGAAATTTAGAACAAGGTAACCGTATCTGGACCTACAACGTGGGCCATAGTTAAAATTAGCATCCAAAGGAGTAACTTTCCAAAGACTCACAGCCTCATGCTAAAAACAATAATTTTTAAGTTCGGTATGGCAGAAAAACAAAGAATAGCAGCAAGAGAGAAACTCATAAAGAGAAGAGTTACCTTCGAAAAATAGCCAACCATATGGCATCCTCTATCATCGCATTCACACAGCACATAAAACAGAAACAAGTCGACATCATAGTAAAGCGTCTTATGGTCAAGAAACAATTTGGCAAGATAGCAGAGATTCTGTCCATAGACCTTATTCTTCTTCCCATCGACCTGTTTCAAAGGAAATAAACTTTAAACTAGCTGGAAATGATGTGTTTATCTTACAAACTGAAAAACAGAACAAGGCAACTTTCTCAAACCCTTGACTAGAAAATCTTGGTGCAAAATGAACCAAAGTGCTCATTTAATGAGGTAGGATTAAAATCTGTACCTCAAACATTGACAAGGTACCACATCGATAGATTTCATCACCGGGAGGATGCTTGAGATCACATTTCCTCTGTACATTCATATCCAAAGAAAAACAAAGGGCTCAGAAAATGATCACAACATTATGGCTAACTGGAAATAGGAAGTGGGTAACTTGAAGTATTCAAGGAAACATACCATATGCCTCTGAAGTTGTTCTTTGCGCTTCATGAAATTGAGACAAAATTCGCAGAAGTAAAGCTTCACACAGTCATTGTATTCCGGTGGAAATGGGGAGAAGTACCAAGTCTCAATCTCATATCTTCCAAGCTCTATCGTGGCAATATTTTTAACCTTGGTAAATTCTTCATGTTCACGCAAGCTGGCAGCATCTAGCTCTTCATGCCCCTGCATAATTAAATATTTAGCAACCACAGAATCAGAATAACTGAATAAGCAATTCAATAGCAAATACTCCCAGTCCCAAAATAATCTTGTTTGTCAAGCCCCTTTCTTTGGGACAGAGGGAGACCATCAAGAAGCAACAAAAGCTATAATGTGACAACAAGAAATAGATAGCTTGAAGCCTACCTCGACATGTGTTTCATCAATCTTACGCTTCTGATGGCGTGTCATCTTCAAGCTTGTTACCTGAAAATATAACAAAGTGGCCAATAGCATCATCACCAGAAAACAAACTTCCAAACTAAGCATTTATCTCACCAATGGGTGCAGGCTATAAATCTTATATTGCCCCGGTCTAGTGCAATATGCAATCACAACTTTCCTAACAAAGTCGTACTTAAGCAGACGAGAATAAACCTCTATTTAAGCTCATATTTCAAAGCTTCATCAATTCATAAAAGATTAAAAATGAGACATCATCATCATAGGCGTGAAGTCTTGTCAATCGTAGATGTCATAATTTTCAGCAATTGCTACAATGTGTAATCTTGAGAAAATCATGCACTACTTACTCCAAGCATGAAAAACGAAAAATGGCAGCCTAGTAAAGATCCCACATATAGAGGGTCCAAGGAAGTAAGCGTACGGAATACTGTCACTATTTAAACTCATTCCATAATCCAAATAATAAAAACAATAGTCAGCAATATCAAGACTGGGGAAGTAGCAAAATTGAACTAACACGACATTTTTCTTCTTACAACGTATGGAAAACTGTGGGGGTCAATTATGAGTTGCAGGATATCTCTCAGGATATTCTAAGAACACATATAATGGATGAGAAGTTTAAACTCTACGTAAGAGAACCACCACTTAAAAGTGGAATGCAGAAAAGAAAATTGTGGGCCCAAGCTTAAAGCACAAATGAATTTGCAAAAGAAAAAGAAGCACAAGTGATAGATTTCATCTTTAAGCAAGAACACTGCAGCAGGACTTAGCACCATAGTTTAAAAAGCTAAAAATTCTCAAGCATAACATATTCCAATTTGACAAATAATACCAGAAGGTGATCATAGAAAACTGCAGTACCTTATCCTCCACCTTTTCATCGACTACAGTTTCTACTGAATCAAGATCAAGTTGTTCAAGTTTCACCCATTCATCAAGTCTTCTATTAACTGTCCAAGGAACAAAAAAAACAATAACACCCAAAAAACAAAAGTAACTGTCAGTTGTGGAGCAGAATGAATTAGCATAAACTGCATAAATGGAAAGCAGAAGAAACCCAGAGCAGATCAAATGGAAAAGAAAACACTACACAGAAACTCACTTGAACATAGTATATCACATGTGACAAGCTCAGTAACATCTACATACCAATGGGGATTCGGATTGAAGTTAAACCATAATCTAATGAATAGACTTATAAAATGTTTTAGCAAGACTGATAAGACTTATAAAACTGTTCAGGTAGAAGAGGAGAAGACGAATGCCATCATCCCCTACGAAAGCCAAGGTTTTCCACAAGGCAGAAAGGACCAAAACTTTGAAAAGATGGTTAAAATGTAAATCAAGTCAATTGATCAATATTTCCCCACTAACTTTCTGAAACTCATTAATCTCAATATGAACAAACACATCATTTTTTCTTGAACTCAGAAGAGGTGCATGTCACATAATCCAGCCACAGAATCAGGTAAAATTGCGAATAGTGTAACGACCTCATTGCTTTTTTAGGTCCAAAGAAAAATTTAAGGTCCCAGCAAGGAGAAGTGGATACAATATCTTATGATTTACAAAAGGAAAGAGTATTTGAGTTTGCAAATATTCAATTCAGATAGCTTTTAACATTGATGCAGGAACAGAAAGTAGATGTACTGCTGAAGTAACCTCATGGACAGAAGACCTCAAACAAAAATTAAAATTGCACTTTAGCATTTTTAGCATTTGAAGACCTCAAAAAATTATCAAATATGTAAACTTTGCACCCAATTCACTAACTAAATCATACATGCCTAAAATATTTAGGAAAAACTATTCTGTCAACGAGCTTCATGGCCCTAATAAACCAGGAAAAACTGCACCACGTGAATCTGCTAAATGTTTTGGAGAAAAGACTAGACATTCACACGAACAGAAACACACTCTAAACCCTAACTGGATAAATTCTCGCCACTCAAACGCCAAAATTAAAAGAATTCTCTTAAAATACTCACACTCAGTGTAGTGAACATAGTATTCGTAGTCATTCGCTCCACCGAAAGGTAACTTCCGGCGTTCGATGACCTTCACGGGATGATATTTGTCGTCTCTCCACCGGCACAACACCCGCGTTCCGACCTCCAGAGGAAGCATGTTGGCCCTCCTCTTTCTCGACGCGTCGTTATCGTTTGGCTGAGCTCCGTTTGATTCGGACGGCTGAACTCCTCCGTCGGTGGCGGTGGAGGCGGCGGTGGCCGTCGAAATTGAACCGTTTTCTGCATTAGTCGGTGGCTCTATAGAACCCATTTTGTAATAGAATAATCGGGTTTTCCTTTTTTCCAAATATTTTAAGGATGGGAGTGGGACAAGACACAATGGACAAACTTATTGAAGCCAGATCTAAATAAGTGAAAATTTCAGGGGCCATTTAAAAATAATAAAATTCTAGAAAACCCACTATAAGATCTCTTTATACCGTTCTAGCCCCAAAAAATATGACAGCATCTCTTCTCTCCACCATTATAAAATTGCTATTGACCATATTTGAAAATTCCCCGCGCCCCCTTTTTAACAGCAATTGATGACTCTTCTAGATTTCCTTGTTTGGAAGTTTGTTTGCTTATGATGGGAAAAAACAAAAGATTTTACACATGAGACAGGATCCGAGTACTACTAATTAAAAGAATAAAAACTGCTTGCAATATATATATATATATATACATATTTTTCTTTTGGTATGAAACAAGAGGCAAAAACCTAGATTCTTACATTCTGTGGATATGCCACACCTAATACATCATGTTATAACCATGGCCGGACACCCGACGGTGGTGCCTCAAATCTTTGCAGACTTACCGGGTCCGAAACTGCTAAAGAAGTTAATTAACCACGAAATTCGCCTCCCGATAAACATGATCAAGTTCTACGATCCAATCACGATGTAGTAATTTCCGAATCCCACTTACAATTCCCGAATGAATCCCTAGAACTTCCTCGTCGCCCTTCGCTATGAGCAGAACACTTGAGCTATCCACTTCCGCCTTCACCTTCTTATAACCAAGGTCACATGCTAGTACTAGGGCTTGAAATAAACCCCAAAGCTCCGCACCAGTAATGGTACACCTTTCCTCCCACACAACACAAGCTCCTCGCATGGATTTCTCATACTCATAAGCTTGTTTAATTCTCCCGACTACCATCACAATTTCCACCACTCGATGTACTTCACCACCGTTAACCCCTTCAAAAATTCCTCCAGCACCATAGTTGCCATGTTGTTACCCCAAAAAAACAATCCCCTTCAAAATGTATTTTTTTTTAATTAATCATTTTTACGTTCTAAGGATAACTCTTGACTTTTTGCAAATCTTATTTTTTTAACTTCAAATTTGCTCCTTAATTTACCTTTTCCAATACAAATACTGGTTACTTCCAAAAATAACCCAACAACAAAGGTCAAAATTATTATTAAGAATAATTATTTTCATTTCACAAAACAAAAGTACTTGTAAGTACAAAATAAGTACTCTATCTATTTCAAAATGATTATCGTGTTTGAATTTTCACTTTTAGTATAATTTATTTATATTAGAAATGAAAATTCAAATTAGACAAAAAAAATTTAGGACAAAGAGAGTACTAATTTACTACATTGAAAGAGAAAGAATTTGATCATGAATAGTGTATATTCATGCATAATGTTGAAAGAGAAAGAATTAGAGAGAGTACTAATTTACTACATTGAAAGAGAAAGAATTTGATCATGAATAGTGTATATTCATGCATAGTGTATAAAGTGATCGCTCATACTCATGGTGAGGTTCGAACCCTTGACCTATGGTTAAGGGTGAAGGAGTCCCTTCCACTCCACCACAACCACTTTAGTTAAGTAAATGTAGTTTTAAAAATACTTTTTCACTGTGAATTAGACGAAGTAAAAAGGTTATACGCCCCCTTATAGGTTTGGGTTTCGATCTCATTGCAATTATCAAATTTGTCGTCATTCGAACCCATAATGGTATTATTGTCTTGGGCCAAGGGCAGGGAGCATTCGAATGGGTTCAGGCCGGCCACTGGGGATAACAAAATTACAAAAGAAAATTTTCATACTTTCGATTAATAACGTTAAGATTAGTCCCTGAGATCTGAAAATGATGAAAATATGCTAATTATTATTGAATTTGTATGAGAATAAACGAATTCTTATTAAGAATCTAGTTTCTATTTCTTCGGTTTACGATGATATCTGGTATTCATGAATAACTAGTCTTAATTGAGTAGCTAACACCTGCAAATTAACTACTTACGGTCGCCTCCTAACCCTAATCATATGAAGCATTAGAGGGCATGTGTCCCTGCCAAGGCTTTAATCAACCTGAAAACTAGTAACTTTTCTTACTTCTACACTATGAAGCAACAAATAGGTAAGAAAACCTAGGGCAAATCCCTTTTACCCTATTAAAGTAGAAGACATGAAACTTATGTGGCAACTACATATGTATCTGTTTTGGCTCCAATGCACCATATTTCAGATTTCAGGAGTCTTTTTGCCACGTGTAAGTCTCTTTTAATTAGAAGCTATATAATTCTTTTTTTTAAAAAAAAAACACATGTTTTAGATATGACCGAGTCCAATGAAAAAATTCTACAAATAAGAATCAGTTACATTTCAAACGAATGGATATATTAATTCAAATTCAAATGTCCAATCGTGCAGTTTTGCAGGTTTAATATAAACAAAAAATAAAAAAAACCTAAATCCAGCAATTAAGAATAATGTTTTATAAATTAATTATTTATTATTCCCTTATAACCTCAGATTTATAGGTATATTTTTTTTAAGCCCCAAACCATAGCATAAATGATATATACGCTAAATTAATTCCTCAAAAAATAGTAATTCAATTAAATTTTAATAAAATAGTAATTTAGAAGAGGCGCCCGGGCATCTGCCTGGGCCAAACATCTAGTTTTATATTAAATCAATTAATTCAGCAAGCCAAAAATAAGAATAACACACCATTCTAAGTGTCTAGACAGGAAACAATTCCGCAAACAATTCACAATGGCTGCAATCAAAACATTTTAATAACTACCACATCCAACGAACATGTAGAAGCATACTATAACAATACAAGGTTTAACAGTTATTAACTTCATATTTATGTCTAATTGAGTAATTTAGACTGTATTATTAACCTTAAACTTTCACCTAGGTTGCAACTTCAATTTTCTAAGAATTTAGTTCTATCAGAGCTACCCTTTCCACTCATTATTGCTCAGCCCATACAGAAATCACAACAATTTACAAAAAAAGTCCCTGAGATCTGAGAAACCAATTTTACAGCAAGACTCCTTAGCTCAATAGTTATTGTTTTATTGATGATTCATGGGGTTATATCGAGTTAGAGAATCCACCGACTATCGTTAAATCATATAGTTATTTTAGAATGTAATTGGAGTTTCATGCTCTCATTATGTAGTAGTTACCCTTTTTACCCAATTTTTTTTTTTAAAAAATAGTAACACGTTGATCATTATAGATGTAATGCAATTACTACATTATCGTTTTATATTATTATACTTTATTTTACTCTTTCTCTTTATTGGTTTACTCTATGAAAGTGTAACAAAATGAAATAAGACAACTTCCATTAAATTGCATTGTGACTCACAAAATCAAATTTATACGGTGTAATTAAGGATTCACACCATTGAATACTGCATGTCATATTTTACGTAATAGTAAAAAGTGTAATTAATTAACTATTTATCACCACTAAAAATGCTCTAAGAATAATGTCATAAAAAAAAGAGAGGGTTTGTTTAATGATGAATTTTGAGGTGTTCATGGAGAATATGAGTAGGTCATTATGAAGTAAAGTCAATTTAAAATGAAGAAGGCAAACAGTTAATTAACGTTCTTAACTAGGTCACAGAATCGTGGTGTGCAAAGCCAGTTATAAATTCTTCAAATTTGTATGAATGGTGAATCTATTATTGTTTTCTTCTTTTTGTACAGGTTGAAGTTGAACTTGTAATTGAAAGTTGCGTTTGGAGTTCGGTGTTAGAATCAACAATATTTTTGTGTTTTTCAAAAAAAAAAAAAAAATTATTTTGTGTTGAATTCAGTAAACGTTGTATTGAAATATTTGAGTTATCATGGTGCGATGAAGTGACTGTATTTTTCAGGGAAAAAAAAAAGAATATACAATTCTATAAATTTATTTACTAGCAGTCGTTCCTTCATTGAAATCGAAACAACTATTGATTTTTGGTAATTTTTGTTGACTGGTTCACATGAATATGCAAATTACGAGTTATTTTTTGGTTGGGAAAACTTTGCATTAATTAATCACAAAATAATGATTGTGCCTCAGTCAAACAATGGTTTGTACCCTAGTCAAAATAATGACCGGACCTTGCACGGTCAATTATAACTTTACTGTGAGTGGATTAAAAGTAAGTTAAAACCCCAACTTTTTTAACATTACTGTTGATTGGATTAATTAATAAATAAAAGAAAACATGCTTGCTCGTATATCAATTTGAGAGTGAAGCCTTTAATTTTAGTACAAAGGGAAAAGGGAAATTAAATTTTCTGCTCTCCCAGCGGGTACGAATCATTTGGACGTGACATTAATTTTCCATTATTTTAGGGTTTCTTAATTATTTTTTCATCATTAAAGAATAAGTAAATAACTATAATCAATGTAGTATATTGGGGACTCTGTGGAATGAAAATGTGAATGATAAGATTTTAAATCTCGACCTCTCGTAGAGATCACCCAATAAATTCCCCTAATTATTTATTAATTCATATAATTAATCAGTAGTAATCACAAATAAAACCAGGGCCTTTCAGTGCCTTTTAATCCAAGCATTAGACATAACTAAAATGGTTTAGATATTGGTCAGTGGATTTCAACATAGGGTGCGAAATAAAATTAAAATTAGTGTATTCGAAAACTAAAAAAAAAGTATTTGAGAACTAAAAAAATTACTAAAATACTCTATCCATTCTAATTGAATTAGGCCATTTGGACGTTTCGAAATTTAAGACAAAAGTGGGTGAATCATTTGGACATATATGATTAAATTCAAAATAAAATTCCCAATTCACTCCTATTAATAAGGAACGTGTTTCTCCCTCTATCTCAATTTACAGCTCATTTTAGGTGTGGAGAGATTTTCCAAAATGTAACTCATTTCACAAATTCTAAGTAAATTAATGACTATTTTTCTAACTTTACCCTCAATAAATGATACCAATCTATTTTCATTTTAGTCTTTTTATAGTTACAATGTAATTAATGAGGGGTAAAACGGATATTTAACACAAAATAATTGTTGGATAGTTA